CCCCCAGCTCAAAAAGGTTGCCTACCCCTGGTATAAATCATTCATCTTCTGGTGCTTTGTGGCAATACGTGCAATGGCGACTTCTCTTCATGTCCGTATGCTGGCCTTCATCATTGAAGACTGCAACTAGTCTGGCTGTGTAGGGAGTATTAATTACCTCCTCTGAGAAACTGAAACCAACTATTGTAATTTATCAGTGTATATTTTAAAGTACTCAGTCTGATTTTAATGAATTTAAAATTAAGCGGAATAAAGATTGAGATTGCCTTGTTCAAGTTAGCCAGTTGTAAACTGCCCTAGTCTCAATATCTAAATTTCTCTGGATGTAAAATTGCATCTGGTTCTGCAAAAAAAAACAAAACCCTGCAATATTTGGTGTGTATTTAGACACTCCTACATCTCTCTAAGAAAGCCTACATGGTGTAGTGGTTTGAGCATTAGACTGCAAATCTGGAGACTGGGGTTCAAATCCCAGCTTGGCCATGTAAATCTACTGTGAGACCTTGGGCATGTCATACTCTCTCAGCCGCAGAGGATGGTAATGGCAAACCCTTCTGAAGAAACTTGCCAAGAGAACACCATAATAGGTTCACATTTGGTTTGCCATAAGTTGGAAATAACTCGAAGGCACACAACAACAACAACGGTATCTATCTCTTTTGGGAGAAACTGGCTTGTTTAGCTAAACATTAGGGATGTAATGGCAATAAGGCAGATGACACAGTAGTGATTCCATTCCATCGCAGAATTCAAAGGATTTATATGTATGTTTAATAGCATACTAGTCCAGATAGAGCCTTGAGGGGTCCTGTAGGCATTGCATAGGTATTCCCCAACACCACCTTCAGAACTCTCCCCTGAAGGAAGGACTGGAGACATCATAATTCCTCTCCTAAATGAAGTCCTGATCATCAGTCAGTCAGCAACAGTTTTGTGGGGAGGGGGCGAATGTGCCTCTCAATGGGTTCTGGAGTGGTCAACGTAGCCCTCAACCCATTAGCTGTTAGGCATTATTTTATATGAAGAAATGTTCCTTTGAAATATGGTTTTGATATGGTAGTTCAGCCAATTTACCTGACTGATTGTGTTTTCCTTTACAGTCGTAGGAAAGCCTTTCAGCATCATTGCCTTCTTCTCCCATCGCTGGATTTTTGGTTGGAGTGGTTGCCGTTGGTACGGATGGGCTGGGTTCTTTTTTGGCATTGGGAGTCTTATTACCATGACAGCAGTAAGCCTGGATAGATATTTCAAAATCTGCTATTTATCCTATGGTAAGTTAAAATATGTAAAAGAATAATATGCCTCTCTCTCTTGGAAGCTATCTAGTTAATTTCTGTTTCCTTCAACATCAACCCAGAAATCAGTGTAATTCAAATACTCATTCATTATCAATAATTAATTTTAAAAATTATCTGTGCCTATCTAACTAACATCAAAAAGATCTTGTACCCAAAAGCCATATCAATAGCAGATATTTAGATAATATGTTCTTGGACTCCACATTCCATCAGTGGCAGTGAGCATCAGGAGGGCCACAATTTTCTTTCTTTGCCTTATTTCATAGCCAGTAAGAGACTGAACAATACATTTACTATCAGAAGCCAAGATTATATTGGGAGATATCCCAGTATACCTGTTAGCATCATGGAAAGAACTTGATGCCGTGGACTAGCTGGTGAGTGCAGAAATTTGCTTTGAGTACCAGAACGAAGCTGAGTTCCCATTCTCTCATATGTTGCATAACAACAAGATCTATTACCAGTAACTTCTGCCCTCCTTCTCTGTAGAATAACAAGACTCTTGAATAATTATGGATTGTGTAAGGAGATAGCATTACATATGATAACTAAACAAACAAGAATTCAATGCCAATCTCATTTTTTTTCTGTCCCTAGAAGCAGAACTTGGGAAGATACTTTTAAAAATAATGATAATGACATGCGGAAGCGACCCATAACTGAATAGTGATAGGATAATGCTCAGTCATGAATGTAATGAATTTTACTATATTTATTCTTTTTAAACATAACTTTCTAAGCTTTCTGGAAATGTATGGCATGGCAGAAGAGACGAAAAAAGCATATTCATGCATAATGAATTAAGCAAAATCTTTTGTTATTCTTCTTAGAAACATTGTTCCTAGAAAATCAGTGTATGAAGATTTCTGAGGCAAGGAAACACATACACGCACATTGTTTAAATCCTCACATACTATCTTGGATGGATGTGTAGAGATTGGTGATGGTTACTCAGAAATGACCAGAGTTCTTTCCTCCCATGAATTGGGAAGAATTTTGATAATTCTCCAAGCAAATAAGAACAGCACTTCACACCAGAGAAACATTTCTATTATCTTGCTTGGGAGATCTATGAGGACCTTCATAGCCCAAAGAGGCTTTTGTTCTACAAGCAAAGCAACTAGGTTTCTTCATTGTTTTGCTAGGGAGGCTACTTTGAAGATTTGCCCCAGGAGAAAACATGCTGCGGAATGAAAGCCTAAATCCAACAGAACAAAATTATTATCCCTATGCAGGTCAGCTTTCCCCCTCCTCATTTTTCCAGGCTGCTATGACACTTCAGAATATCCCTACCCCCCTCCACAGCATCACAATACCTTTAGGGGGAAAATCTGCAAGTGAGATTTTTTAAAAAATATGTGTAGGTAGCATTTGCACTTGACAATGCAATATGTTTATTCTCTTCTAGGTACCTGGCTGAAGAGACACCATGCTTTCATCTGCTTAGGAATCATCTGGTCCTATGCTACATTCTGGGCAACAATACCATTTGCTGGCTTGGGCAATTATGCTCCTGAGCCATTTGGAACCTCTTGCACTTTGGACTGGTGGCTGGCTCAAGGTTCAGTGGCTGGACAGGCTTTTATTCTGAATATTCTTTTCTTCTGTCTTTTGCTCCCAACTGCTGTGATTATGTTTTCCTATGTTAAAATAATAGCAAAAGTCAAGTCATCCACCAAAGAAGTAGCTCACTATGACACCAGGATTCAAAACTCACATGTACTGGAAATGAAGTTAACTAAGGTAGGTATAGGAAGCCTGGTGGTGTTTAGAAGGGAATGGACAAAAGCATGAGAGGAGAGGCTCAATTTAGTAGAGAGAAAAGCATATATATATATATATGATATAGAAGGAAAAGAAAGGCAAATTTGGGCAATAGGCAGGGGAAGTAAAGTTTATAGCTGGCAAAAGATTGCAGCTGGCTTGCACTTTGTACAGTGATTCTGGAAGGGAATCAGTATTTTTAGAAATAATAATAATAAAAAATAACTCCGACATGTGAATTCTTAATTAAATCATAATGTTGGTTGCATTACATTAAATTAATGTAAAATGTCCTATACGTTTAGTCCCAAGTCCTGGAGACCAGTTGCTGTTGACACAAGACAAAGCCAATCACCCAAATAGGATTTATAAAGATAGAGATGAGTCATGGGCATGTTCAGGAATGCTCCCAAGCCACTAGAAAAAGAAGTGACACAGCATGGCAGGGAGTTGAACTTAATGGCCCTTGAGGTCTCT